TCATTTTTTCCAGATCCCCTTTTGTTGCCAGTTCAGTGGGTCCAGGTGGTTGAGTATCAGAGTGTTCCATCTCATTCCCCTTTGGGGTTGCTGTAGGTGATCTGGAAGTCTGGTTTTGAGACTTACTTACATGTTTTCTCATTTTGACTGGGGCGGGGCCTGTTAGCGCCTGCACGGATTACCTCCTCTGAGCTGGGAGAGTTCGGGCAGGGGCCGGGAGCAGCAGTAGGGATGGTGACCCAGAAGCCCTTTCCTCTGGGCTGGGAGCAGCGGGGAGGGATGGTGGCCGGGAAGCCCCTTCCTCTGGATCAGGAACAGTGGGATGGTGGCTCAGAAGCCCCTGCCTCTGGGCCGGGAGCAGTGGGAGGGATGGTGGCCTGGAAGCCCCTTCCTCTGGGCCAGGAGCAGCGGACAGAAGGTGGCCCAAAAGCCCTTTCCTCTGGGCTGGGAGCAGCAGGAAGGGATAGTGACCGGGAAGCCCCTTCCTCTGGACCAGGAGCAGTGCGACTCAGTACCGTGGTCTGGTGGTCTGGTGTCCTCTGTGTCTTTGTAGTGTGGAACCAGGTGGCTGTACAGAGGAGCAGGGGATGGGTCCAGAGGATTGTTGCTGGGGTGCTGGCTGATTTGACATGTTCTGCGGGACTCGAGACCTCGGTAGGGCATGCCCACAGTCGAAAACTTGATGAGAATAAAAGCTGTTTCTGTGTGTCATCATTCTGAGGTGGTGTATGTAATTTTCAGCAGCCCTTTTATCACTGTGACTAGCCCTTTACCATGCCTAGTTACCCTATGAACCCCAGTTCTTGTTTTAAAATTGTGAAACCACCCCTTACTGGCATGAAATGTTTCACCATTTCATGGATTATCCTTTATGAGATCTGCATTTATAACCCTAATTTTTCACAAATTATAGACTCAGGCTGCTAGTGTTTTCAATTTGAAGTGAATAAGGATTATTGTTTTGTAACCTTTAAATTTGACTTCTACCATTAAATGTGTGAAATTTAGAGAATATGATGTCTGTCATACTAATTTATGAAAATTTTATAGATTCTTGAGAAAAATTAAGTACTTTTTCCTATGGGCAGTATTCCATATTATACTAATTTATTTAGCCTTGTTGGCAATGTATATCTGTAGTGGGTTCTTTTTGTTTGCTTTTTTAATCTGTTATTTACTGAGAATAGAATCTCCTATTTTTGTGGTAGGTTTTTCTATTTCTACCTATGTTTTTAGCACTATACACTGTAAAACTGAAGACATTATTAGATGCCCAGGGGTTTCAATTTGCTCCTTTTGGTGAATTCCATCTTCCATTCTCATGCAGTGTCATCATTTTTTTCCTAATGAATGCTTTTCATATGAATCCGCTTTGTCATTAATACAGCTACTCATATGGGAACTATGGAGATATTACCATTTTCACTTTTTCCCTTTCATCTTTTTCCTTTCAACCTGTGTTTTCATATCTTCAAAATATAACCTTTTTTTAAGAAGTAAAAATCAACAATCTTTGTCTTAACTGATCAGTTGAATTTTTATTATTTGAATTTGTCTTCCCACTCCCATCCTTTTTAAGTCATTTTGAATTGACTGAGTTTTTTTAAATTTAGTTTTCTTCTATATTGCTTTGAAATTCTACATTTTTTCTATTTTTAGTGATTACTCTTAAATTTTATTATGATGTATATCAATTAATATGTAGTAAATAATATCTGAACATCCTTTATCAACATAGAGACTTTAGAACACTTCAGTCTTTCTCTTCTAACTTGTATTTTATTGTGATTCATTAATCTTATTCTTTAAAAAACCTCTACTATTAAATAGAATATATGTTTGGATTTGCTTATGTAATTACCATGTTATTCAAACATTTCTTTTCATGTTAGATCTTTTTTCTTTTTCTCCGTCCATTTGGATCTTGTTTATAGGTTAGTTTTCCTTTCTTTTCAAAAGTACCTAGTAGTATATCCTCTTGTGGGGAAGCCTGTTGGTTATTTTGTTCTTTTTATTTATAAATGACTTCATTTTATTCTTAAAATACAACTTTTGGAGTATATCTTTCTAGGTTTATATTTTCTTTCAACACCTTTAAGATGTCCCAATGTATTCTGGTTTTATTTTTGATACTGGGAAGTTTATGGTCTGATTTTGATTCCTGTTCACCTTGTCAAATGAAGGGTCCTTAAGACTTACTAGGTCTTTGAGATTGTTGGTGGATCTTCCTTCAATGTTATGGGTATTTACTATATGATATTTCACTCTTGTATTTACAAAAACATTTTTATTGTAATCTAATGGCATTTTTGTTGGAAGTTTTATCTATCTGTTTTGCCTTTTGTTTTTCAAGTACTGTAACCATTGTTTTTAATTTTCTTTTCTTTAGTTGCCTTTCCCCATCTTACTGGTTCTGCTCCTTCATGGCCAAGTCTTGTGGACACCACCAAGCAATGGGACTATTATCCAAGAAGAGAGAAAGACCGAGATAGAGACAGAGACAGAGACAGAGAACGAGATCGTGATCGGGACAGAGAAAGGGAACGCACCAGAGAAAGAGAGAGAGAGCGTGATCACAGTCCTACACCAAGTGTTTTCAACAGGTTTGTTGGGTGTGGAGGAGTCTGTGCACAAGTATTTCATTTACGCTTACAAATTTTTATTTGGTGTGAGGAAGTTCATTTCCCATTATCTAAAGAAACAGTTTTCAAATTTGTTTGTTCACTTATCTTTTAAAAGAATTTTATGTGCTTGCTTTGGCAGCACATATACTAAAAGAATTTTATACCCCCTCACAAAGTTTTATCTAGTCATGTAAAAATTTTTGCATTAAGCTTAGTTGACAATATAATTGGCAGTATGTTATAAATATTAATGTTTAAAAATCATAGTATCATTTTTAAATATGCTCAGTGGGTTGGAGATATTATGACTTACCAAACATCATCATCCATTTTATAAAAGTGCATTAATAGGCTCTCTTTAACAGTTGGAAATTTTCCATTTCTTTTTGTGCTTGAATTTTCATTTCTGTGCCACTTCACCCAAAGAATTTTATTGTAATATAAAAAATACCAGGGACCAGGGAGGCTTAGTAGTAAAGTACTTGTCTAGTCTGTACAAGGCCCTGGGATTGATCCCCAGCACTGCCTGAAGTAAGTAAATATTTTTTAATTTGGAAAAATTGTAAATTGATTATCCTGTCAGTCTTTTCTGCAACATATATTTATGTAAATTAAAATGTTTAAAAATTTTGTTTTATGGCCATATCTTAAATTATTTTTTAAAATTTCATCTGATTTTAGTTTCATTTATTATATATGGATAAATATTCTGAGAATTTTGAAAATAATGTAATGAAACTACATCTTTTACTATGAAGTATTTCGTTCTCTTCCCCTATTAATATATGTAGCCATGGATGAATAGTATTACTATAGAACATTAAGGGTTGCCATTAATTAGTTTCTTTAAAATACGTGTGTGTGTATATGTAGACACTAAGAAACCTTGTTCACATAAATTAGGCCTAGCTAAATCCAATGTGACTTCATCTGAGTTTGATTGGATGTACAAAAAGTCTATTTCTAAATAAGGTCACATTCACTGGTATTAGGGGATAGGATTTGAAATGTCCTTTTGGGAGATATAATTCAACCCCATTCATTTGGTAACTTTAAAGTCTTCAGTTTTCTTAGTTTCTTAGAAGAACACCAAAAGTGCTCTACCAGGACATGAAGAGACCATTAGAGTATACTTGCTACTCTCATTTAGAGACAGCTTGTTCACCATATGACTTAAAAGGACTGAAAATACCAAAATACTGTTAATTTCAATGCATATTTGTTAAAATATTTTTTTAAAGCTTAGAAACAACTTTATATGTGTGAAAGATTTCTTATACAGACCTTGGAGCTACAAATTTCCTTTATTCCATCTAGAAAATAGGTACTGCATATCTTAATTGATAAAAGACATTTCTCATTGTCAAGCCAGACAACCAAGACACACACTGTTTTATATCAGAACAAAGTCTGATGTTATTCCTAATGTAAAGAGAATTGTCACAGAGCCTCAAATATGGTTCTGAGTTCCTAAAACTATTTTGCTTTACTTTCATGGAACTGTCGTTCAGAAGGATTCTTTTAAAACTAGTTCAGGGGAAATTGTTACGACTCCTGCTTCACTACTCTACAATATATCTGAATTTGGAATAACTTAGGACATAAGCCAAAATACTCCATTTCATGCTTACTTTGTCATTGACAGAAATATGTGTAAGACAAGACACAAAGCCCTAGGGAAGCTTTATGTTTCCTCAAATCCATCTTACTGAGACTAATATTTTAAATTCAGTCTTTTTAAGTCATGGTGGTTTCTATACCCCGACAAAATGTAGCACAGTAAAATTTGTGAAAGAAAAGTTTTTCTCTTATAAAAGGATGGAGATGTTATTACGAGAGAAGTTAACTAGAGAAGTGGTGTGATGCTTTACCTGCAGGTATAGAAATGTTTATGGAGGAATAAATATGGAAGTTGAGGATCTGGCAACTAAAGCTTTCTTTTCCACTGGAAAGAATTCATATACTGATGGGTTATTAGTATACTCCACTGGTGTAATAATATTGAAATTCTGATGATACAAAAATCATTTTATAGTCTGGCTTCAGTGTGTCCTAGGCAAGTGCTCTTTCACTTGAATTACATCCTCATCCTTTATGCCTGTATATTCTAATGCCAGTTCTCTCCTAAGCCAATGTTCCATATCTCTAGCTGCACCTCCATTGTTCATGTTCCTCTCTTCTCAGCCTTATAGGCTTCTGTTTATTCTTTCAGCATCCAGTTTATATCTTTATCTTATGTGAGTTGCAGTGAACCTTAAAAGACAGAACTAATTATTTCCTTTACAAGCATGTCTTACTATGCTTCTCGAAAAGAGCATTGACCACTAGTTTTCTTTTTTCTGTCCTTAGCAGTTTGTACAGTACTGCCTGGCATCCTAGTGAATGTGTAAATGAATAAATGACTTACAATACAATATTGAAAAACCAATTGTGAAAATTGTTAGTAAAACTAATTGTGTCATCTAGACAGATTTTGAAATGAATGAGAATCAACCATTATTATACCCAGAACATTAAATTTAGTCATCTTATTTACGTACCAGTCTAGGTATCATCACAGTGTGGAATGAAGTTAAGTTAGATAAAACTTTTTCATATCATTTCTTTTTATGAGTAAAATTAATGAGAGATAATTAAGTTATAGAGGTTTTGTTTTTTCAGACAGGGTCTCACTGTGTAGTTCAGGCTAGACTTGAACTCATGGTGTAGCCTAGGCTTAGTCTCCTGAGTGCTAGGAATGCAGGCATATGTCACCACACCTCCTGCATATAGTTCTTTTTAAATAAATTTTGCTGGTTAGATCAAGTAATATATCAACTCAGTGTTGAGCATATGCCTGATTGAGGTAGCATTTGTTCTTTTTATATGTGGTTATGTGATCATAGACTTCTTGACCCAAAAAATCCTTAGAGATTATTTAGTCTAAATTTTGACACATCAAATGAGGAAATGGAAGCATAGAGAAATTAAGGTAGAGCTATAATATTGGCTGGATATATGGTTCAGATATTATTTAAAATCCTTCATAGTCTTAAAATTAGGTAGTTAAAAAATATCTGCCTTCATTCTGCATTTTCTTTTCTATGCTAATGGTTTTTTGGGGGGCTTGGGGGAATCCCAGTTTATTCTTTGAATCACGTAACTGACATTTTTAGTCCCTGTTCTAAATCAGATACAGAAGATTTATTAATCTTTTTCTCCCTTTGTTGCCTAATAGTATGACTTACACATCTTAAAGCCTTACTAAAATGTTATTGACCAAATAAGTAAATAAAATGGCATGATGTATACATGCATGGACTTTTGTGTGTTTGTGTAAGTATGCCTGAGCATGTGCTTGGTAATTTTGCATGGTAGGACATGTGCTGTTGTCTTTAGTCACTTAAGTGCATGATTCTGTTAAATTCAAGAGAATGACTTTTTAGAAAGTTGAATTATTTCTGATGTCATTAAAATGGATATATTTGAGATAGCACTATTATCCTTGGAATGTACATGTTTATAAGTAGCAAACATAGTGCAAAACTTAATAGGAAAGACAAAATAAATTGCTTTGGTAGTGCTCATAAGTTTTATTTCCATAATACACAATATTTTTAGAAGAGTTGAAGCTAAATTCTTTAATTCTTCCATTTACATATGTGCACAGATGTTACTAAATTTTTATTGAAACTTAAAAGTGTAAATGGAACAGTTAAATCATGTTTTTGAGATTGCTGAGCTTTAGGGCGTTAGGAGTCAGTGTTTACCTAAATTTGACAAGTTTAAAGCCAGAAAGGCAAAAAATATAGTGGAATTTTGTGCTTTCTGAATTATCCTGGGGGTGGTAGGGAATAGTACTCTGGGAAGATCTCAGTGAAGTGTAAGTAAAGGCTATTTGTTTCTGAAGACTGACAAAAATGTCTAAAAAGCAATATTGTATGTAGTATGTGTTGCATTACAAATTATAGGGTCATTGTTTTGAAAATTATAGGCCATGTTTAACATCTGTTTTTTAGGCAGCTTAATTTTGGGCCTCAAAGAAGGCTGGTCATTCTAGGATGTTTGAAATGAGTGCTAATGATTTCCAGGCCCACAGAAATCTTTGTGCTATAGCCACTTTTCAGAAAAGAGATGGGTGAAAGAAAGTCTGTATTTTGTGTGCAGGACCAATTCTTCCACCTTATGCCATCATGTGGCTACTTTAGAATCTAAGCCCTCAAACCTAGCAAGAGTCTTCCATGGTAAGAGGCACACGATAAAAGTGACTGGGCTGGGGATTTAGCTCAGTGGTTCCACTGCCTGCTTCACAAGTGCGAGGTCCCGAGTTCGATCCCTGGTACCAAAAAAAACAAAAAGTGACAAATTATGAGATAAATGACCTTTAATTATTTTTATGTAAATCTAGCTGGCGTCATTACAAAGAGCCTAGTATTTCAGGAGTTAATTGCAATACTCACTTGTTATGATGCTAGTTTATATTACCTCTTATTACATGGGTCAGCATTTACAAAAAGTGTTCTGATTCTGAAAAATTAAGCATTACATTTACTGAAGACTGTCAATTGTTGAGCATCTACTCTCTACTAAGCACTTTTATGTTATTAATTCTCCGAAAAAAATATTGTTGCCAGTTTTACAGATGAGAAAACCAAGGTTTAGAGAGCTTGAATAATAGTCTGAATCACTCATGTAATAAGGGCAAAATCAGAATGTGATCCGAGTGTACTCTATCCATACTCTTTCTATTTCTCTGGGCTACCTGCCATGCTTTGTAGATAACATGCTTTCAGCTTCCAAATACAAATGTATAGTTAGGAAAAAATATATGAATGTACACATGTGTGTACTTATATGTGTGTGTGTGTGTATATATATACACACTTTATTTTTATAAAACATTTAAAAATTTAATGTAGAAAAGGTAGTAATTTGGACAGCCATATGATTTGGCATTAAACATAGCATTATTGAATGCTTTAAGAGAACACAGGCTGATCTGTTCATTTATGTAGCTTATATTCACCTGAGCTGTTATCCCCACTCAGATTTTTTAAAACATTTTGATGCTTCATAGAAATTACTAATAATTTGTATCAAACATATTTCTAGAAACCAGAGCTCTTCAGCAGTTTCTAGAATACTGATAATTAGTTTGTACAGTGTTAGCTTCTATGCTAAACACACAGAAATGAAGTTGCAGCTTATATTTATGCATTTTTCATGCATTTGAAGTTTTTAGCTATGTGGCGCACCCCCTGCCCCATGTCCACAGAAACAGATAGAGAATGAATTAGAATGTCAGAATGCAGGTATGTCTGCTCTTTGTGCATTGTTGTGGCTTCTGTTGTAGAAGTCGGTGTGATGACTCTGTTCTTCATGCTCACACCTCCCCATTAGATGATGTACTCTTTCTGTAACTGACAAACCAAAGAATTAAGAACTTTTATCTGCTACCTTGTAGCCATTGTGAGCCGTATATTTTTTAAATCTTTACTGTGCGTCCAAGACTTTACAAATAATACAAGAATTTTGGTTAGAAATTTGAGGTACATAAATATGCTTTTAATATTTAAAAGGAACAAAAGCAAGTGAGATTGCTGATTACAATTTTTTTTTTTTTTTTTTGGTACTGGGGATCAAACTTGGGACCTTGCACTTGTGAGGCAGGCAGCGGCACCACTGATACAGCCCTGCTGAGTACAATTTTAATCAGCCAGGGGTCCCATAGTTTGAATAAAGCATTGTTAAATGAAATCTCTGTGCCATAACTATGAAAAGCATAGAGCAGATGTAACATGATGTACAGTTATATATTTTGTATTCTCTTTAGATCTAACACTAATTTGTGACTCAATTCAACAAATATTTATTTCCCACCTACCCACTAGATGCTAACATGCAGGCTTCTGTTGGACTTAAGGTCTCTTCCTTTAGAGTTTGCAGTCATTTAGAATTAATAGTCTGGGTGTCAAAAAGATTTATTCCATTTCCATTGCAGTGACGAAGAGCGATACAGATACAGAGAATATGCAGAAAGAGGCTATGAGCGTCACAGAGCAAGTCGAGAAAAAGAAGAACGACACCGAGAAAGACGACACAGAGAGAAAGAAGAAACCAGACACAAGTCATCTCGCAGGTTTGTGCTTTAATAAAATAGTGATTCATTTTGAAGCCAGAAATTGATTTGACTTCAGGAAGTAAAAGCAAACAGTTCTTCCAAACAGCCAGTAGAACGAACATGTGTTCCTAACTGGAAGATTCAGAATAATCTGTTGAAATAGTTGATTCCTCTTGAGCTTCAAAGAATTTTTAAGTCTAAAGATTACCCCAGAACCAAAATTAGCATGGAATAAAAATGAGAGATTTTGATTACATTAACTCATTGGGAGAGAGGGAACTTTAGATATGAGCAAATCCTTAATAGTAAATATTATTAAACAAAGCAATGTTTGGCTTAAAGAAACAGTTTAGGGTTTGTAGCGCCCCCTCTCCCCTGAAGAAAAAGGCATTATATTTTAATGCCTGTTGTTTGTGGAAAAGCAACCCTATAAAATAGAATTTCTTGTTTAAGTACTTCAGTTTCTATTTTGTATTGTAGTCTTTCAGAATAAAGAAAATGGACTCTGCTAATCTGGGATAATATTAGTAAAGTTCATCCAGTGTTAATCTCTGCATAAAAGTCTCATAAAGACTGATTTACTTCCAAAATATGTTTATGAGAAAAAGAATGGGTTAGATTATCTTAAACATGAGTGGGGTTTTCTAATCACTAATTGTATATTTAAACATTTTGAAACCGAACACACTTTTCTCTCTCTTCAGTAATAGTAGACGTCGCCATGAAAGTGAAGAAGGAGACAGTCACAGGAGACACAAGCACAAAAAATCTAAAAGAAGCAAAGAAGGAAAAGAAGCTGGCAGTGAGCCTGCCCCTGAACAGGAGAACACTGAAGCTACACCTGCAGAATAGGCAGAGTTTTTGCCTTCTGTGTATATTAGTGCCAGAAATAGATACTATAAATCTCATTATTTTTCTGGATAATGTTTAAGAAATTTACCTTTAATCTTGTTCTATTAGTATGAAAAGTTAACTTTTTTTTTCCAAAATAAGTGAATTTTTCATGTTAAGTTAAAAATCTTCATTTTTTAATATTTAAAAATAAAAAGACAGCAATGACTTTATATCCAAGAAAGTCAAGTGAATGAGTCACTTAGGGGATTGAGAGCTATATTTAGCTGTGTATGTACATGGTATCTGATGGTCAAGGATCACTTGGCCAGTTTTCTTGTTAAATACCAGTCTCATACGAAGTTGCACTGCAAAAGGCATCACAAGCCCTCTGAACTGTGAGATTAAAACTAGTCTTTGTCATTACTGCTGTGGCACTCTTGTTTAGAATATTAAGAGAACTGTATACATTTTTGGGGGGTGGGTACTGGGGATCAAACTTGGGGCCTTGCACTTGGGAGGCAGGCGGTGGAACCACTGAGGTAAATCCCCGGCCCTATACATTTTTGATACCACAGTTTTTGACACCAGGTTTTCAGTGTTCTAAATTTGGGTCCATGGTAAAACTAAATAGGGCACTTTTATATCAAATCAGTAGAGTCTGCAAGGCATTTAGATAGCCTCTGAAGGTGCCCTACATGTAATTGCAGGCAGATACATACACAGACATCACTATGACACAGACTTGAACCCCCTCTTGGCCATATATCTGAGCCAGGGTCAAGCTTATTTGGCCTTTCTTGACGTGTTTTCCAAGACTTATGGTAGAGTAGCATGTGGAGTTTTTATACAGTTGCTAACTGTATTGTGAATAAAAATAAACTTCATGACAAGAGCTTTGAATTAGTCATTTCTTATTAAACTAAGAAAATACAAGGTTATAACTTTTAGGTTATATTTTTATATTTTAGGTTATATTTTTAGGGGTAATCCTTGGAGGCATTATGTGTTAGTGATGGTAACAGATAACTTGGTGTTTGAAAGAATGAACTATGAGGGTCTTTTAAATGGTGATGAGAAGTAAACAGAATCACATACAAAAAAGAGTATAATTTTTGAAACATATTTATTTCTCACTTGATGAACATTTCTTAGCAATACAGTTTTTATGTCCTCTTGACATTACATTTCAAATTCTCATAGTGGACTCTGCAGAACTGACATTATACCAGATCTTTAAGTTGATGATTTGAATGGGGCATAGAAACCATTTTTAGTTGTTCAATGGCTTTTTTTTTTTTTGGTACTGGAGATTGAACTCGGGTCCTTGCACTTGCAAGGCAGGCGACAGAACCACTGAGCTAAATCCCCGGCCCCTCAATGGCTTTTTATTGAATAGAAAAATATAAAATTAGAAGTTGTGGAGTAATGAGAAATCTTCCATACTGAATAAAAACCATTAGTTTTTATTTTCTGAGAAGGTTCTCTGAGGTATAACTGGTCTTCATTAGATCACACTTTTCTTAACATTTTTTATAACCTTTAAATATAAAAATTGACAAGATAAATATATTATCTCAGTTTAGCCTATTTGTGATTTTTTCTGTTTTTCTGAGAACCATCAGTGATTTTATAAAAAAGTGCCAGGCCAAGAAACTATAGTGAGAGTAATTCTTCCTTTAAGGTCTTTCAGCATCTTTGTCAAGCAAGCAGGCGTCATGCCTGATGTACTTCTCCCATTGACAGCAAGAAGAATATCACCACATCTAAAAAAAAAAAAAAAAAACAATAGATATGTGATTACTATCTTCATCTAAGCTAAAGTTAATTTTGATGCCTCTATTTTTGCTGCATCCATCCATTTTAACTACATTACTTCTGACTAAGGCCTTTCCCTTAAATTCTTCAAACTCACTAGGATGCTAAAAAGTGTAGGAAGCTGCAATGTGGGTCCAGGAGGTTGTGTAATTTTGTATTTCTTAGATGATAAATGCTGCACAAATGTTTTAATTTCTTACCCCCTGTCCCTGAAAGTATGGCTTATTTCAAGTGGGGCCAAGCTTTTGCATATAGAAAACAAAACATTTGAATATAAATTTTTTGTTGAGTAGTCCTTATCATTACCTAATTCTTCCATCCTTGTATGCTGGCATTCCTTCAACAATGGATTTGATAAAAAAAGGTTTGTGCCCACTGTTTTCTTCATAACCTCCTACAATGCAGAAGCCCAGACTTCCAGCTGTGTTTCTTCGTAATACAACATCTTTATAGTTACGAAAGTACCTGAAATAGAATGCAATCAGTGTATATGTACAGTAAACTATTAATTATTGTGACTTCATCTCCCATTCCTTACTGATAATTTTCTTGAAGCTGAGAAGTACTGGATAGATCCCACTCAAAATTGTGTCATAGCTTAGTAACTTTTATGCTGTTAGCCAGCATTTTGTAATTAATCCTCTGATTCCCATAGTTGAACACTTTAAAAAATAGCATCACCTGTTAGGTTTTATCTGTATGTTTGCTGAGTAAATAATCATATTTTGGGCTTTAAAATGACTTAAAGCTTGAGTTTATATTATCAGAAAATTTAGGTATGTCTAGCTGCTTCATTGATAAACCAAAATGAAACATTCTTATATTTTTATGGATATAATTTTAATGAAGGCAGAAATCCTTTGAATAAGTGATTAATCTCAAGAAAATTTAAGCTTAAGCTAATTGATGAAGTGGAAATTTTTTGATCCAAGCTTAGACAAGATGCAGTCATAAAGTAAATAGAAATTGCAATACATTTAAAGCTTGTCAGAAGAACATGTGGGAAGAAAAACAGATGGCAAACTGAATTGGAAGTTACAAAAGGAATGGGAGAAGGAAAGACAATAATAGCTCTTCTGTAAGTAGAATCCTCAACTAAAATAGAAAATGAAATTTAAGAAATTATTTTAGAATTCAGTAGCCTTTGGATAAGTGTTTACATAGGTGCAGGCCAAGTGCAGACTGTGTTCTAGTTACTAAAGAGATGGAGGTGTGTGTCAGGAACTAGATTTTACTTTTTTGTATATGTTCCTGTAGTCCAGAAACTGGTCTGACAGGAGATGAGCATTTTCACGTTGGTAAAAATCAAGATATGGATGTTCTGTTTATAAACTGTACCTTAAAATATTCATTAACTGCTTTTTGACAACTAATAAAAGGTCTCTTTTGAAATGTTAACTGATGAAGTTATTATATTTGCTACTGTTGCTGCTCATCAACAAAATGACTTTTTAAAAAATGTTGCTGACTCACTTGAAATAAAACAAGCTGTGGAGTTTGGTGAGTATCTTTAAAAGATAGTGCTAAAATTCGACTCCAAACCTACTTTTCTTTTGTATCCATTGTCATACATATACATCATTTACAAGAATCAATTTCACTGAAATGACAGCAAAAAATATGAATGAATTTCATCAAGTGAAAATGCTGTATTTTTTCACTGTAACATGTTTGCCTGCTACATCTCACAATAAACCTTGATTTCAGTAGCATATTCTTCCAATAGCAGCTATGGTCTCTTGGATATCACATTTTACATAACAATTCACTGCTCAGTACAAAGCAGGTAATTGGCTGTTGACCAAACACCAAAGCATTAAATCACCTGGGAAGTTGTGTGCCTGATTTTTTGGAGAAAGGAATTAGATTATTCTTATCCAAAGTCATGATCAGGTATGTCTGAATTTTCCCCAGTTGTGATTCTTTAAAATACATAAATAAGTGTGTAGAACATACTTGAAACTGCTGTGTTTTTCCTTTTGACCATTGTGATTTTCATTTAGTATCTCCTTGGACCTTGACACGTAGTGAATATTTTATTTCATATGGACAAGCTTTATAAACAACCACTTAAAACTTTCATGTTCCAGTAAAAATGATTGCAACTTAATAAATGTCTTTTCCTATACTCTTCATATTAGAGAGAAGGTATCTATTTGGGTCATCTTTCAGATGTTTGAGTGTGTACCATGTCCTAGGCACTTGGGATCTCTTGGTGAACAAAACACCCCTGCCCTCCTGCAGCTTCCATATAAGTAGGTACCAGTGTTACTAGTTTTGATTTATTAAGGGTGTTTTCCTTTAGTTGTGTCACATTTGCCTTTGTTGTAGCAAGAAGAACTCAGTATGTTAAAGTCAGACCTTGGTTAGTTCTGACTGGGTATTTTTGTTTTTGTTTGATTGGGAAAATATTTAATACCTGATAAGGGATTAATATCTGAACATCATAAAGAACTCATACAACTTAGTACAACAGTAAATAACCCAATTGAAAGTGGACAAAAGACTTCACTAAACATTTCTTCAAAGAGTACATAAAAGTGGTCCATAGATTATGAAAAGGTGATCAGCAGCATTCATGATTAGGGAAATGCAAATCAAAACCCCTGACATAGGACCTCACTCCCATTAAGATGGCTGTTATCAAAAAGTTAAATAACATATTGCCAAGGGTGTGGAGAAAAGGGAACTCATTCACTGTTGGTGGGAATGTAGATTGGAGCCACCATTATGGAAAACAATATGGAGATTCCTAAATAAACATACTATATGCCCAGCAGTCCCTCTTCTGGGGATGTACTCACAAGAAGTCACCAGCCTCTAAAGATACCTGCACTTTCATGTTCATTGCAGTGTTAGTGGTAGTAGTGAAAACACAGACACGGCTTAAATATCCAGCAACAGATGAATGCCTGAAGAAGCTATGTAGACACACTTGTGTATCTTTTTTTTTCTGGTCTATTTTTGTAATAAATTTTATTTTATCCCATTAACCCTCTCAAGCCCCCTCCCCTCCCTTCTATTTTTCACTCCCCGCCCCTCTTCCTTTATCCTTCCCTCCTCCCTTGTTCCCTTTCCCTTTTGAACATTTTCTTCCCTTTTCCCAACATCCATTATGCATCTCAATGTATTTCATATTTTTTGTTTTTTGGTACTGGGGATCCAACTCAGGACCTTACAAGGCAGGCACTATGCTCATGAGCAACATCCCCAGCCCCTGACTGGGTATTTTTTTAAGTCCAATTATTTCACTCCACTGGGAAACATGGCAGATGTTTTTGATCAGTGACCTTTGAAATAAAGTGACTTTATCTTCTGAATGTAAAAGTGAGTAGTTTTCCTACTCAACCTAGTTGAGGCCTAAGAAATAGCAAGGCTTTGACCCTTTTACTCATTGAAAAAATTAGTTACTTAAAAAATCTAACTCCACTGAATGAGTTACTGAGCACGGGGAAGTCTCAAGAAGCTAAGGTTTTTCTAAAACTTCCCTGTATCCCCTTACATAGTATATGAGTAGATTGAAAAATCCATTAGAAAACACTGCTTGGGCTGGGGAATATTAGGGAGACTAAGACATGGCCTCCTCAAAATACTGTTTAGCATTAGAAAATACAGTGAGTCTATCTAAAGATAGTTTGGAGATGAATAATGATTTCTTACCAGTTTGAACTTTAAAACTCCTTGGGTGTTAGAACACCAGAATTTGGAAAGGCAGTTGGTGTTTGGAGCTTATCCCAAGTGCAGAAAATTGAATCTGTACCCAGTACCTGTCTTTTCACAAACATGGCACCTTATTATTTAACACCCTGCCCAGAAAAGCCCTCATTTATATGTAACCACTACCACTAACAAGGCCCTCATTTATGTGTACCCACTACCACTAACAATAATTTGTGGTGTGTAATACACAGCAAGCTCCTTGCTAAGATTTACTTGCATTTTCCTATTTCTGGATCAGGTGCCTCTCAGCCTTTGGGCAGGAGCATCTTTTATTATTTCCAGCTAATTGCAGATCAGTACTTGTAATAAAAAGTGAATAATTCATGTTTTTATTATATCCAACAAAACCATGTTTCAGTAGATCAACCACAAAAAAAGAATTACAAAAACTATGTTCATTGAAAGTGTTTATAGGAGATTAATATGGATCATCACTGTTACACTCAGCTCCTTGTTAATTACTTTATCCCATCCAAGTGCTAACTAGGCCTGACCCACTTAGGTTCTGAGATCAGACAAGATAGGGTCCCTTCTGGGTGGTATGGCCATAGACAACTTTCTAAAAGTTATGAGGGAAGTGCCAGGGATTTAGCTCAGTGGCCTGCCTCGGAAGCCCAAAGTCCTGAGTTCGATCCTCAGTATAAATAAATAAATAAATAAATGTTATGAGGGAAATACTGGGTATCCATACTACATGTTTGGAACAAACATAGTGTTTTAAGGATTTTAATATAATTGAGGTTGCTTACTTAGCTAATCTTAATGAAGATTCTATTTGCAGTGAATAAAGATGTTTAAACTATTTTTCCACTACTGTAATAGAAAAACTAGTCTTGCCAGAGATGTTCTTGAGAACGAAATATATTTTAAAGCACTATCAGTAAGCTCAGGATTTCAAGCATTGATGACAAATAAAGCAAGTGATGATTTAATGTAAAAGTTCATCTTTTTTCATTTATAGTAGCCACTTCCAATGATTTTTCTTAAAAAGGTACAGTAAAACTGAAATTATGTTTCAGTGAAATGATTCTGGACTCATAAGTGTTCTTTGTTGATTTCCTTTTCTGAAAATCAGCATTTTAACAAATGTGTAAAATGTTTGGTGATAATTTTTTTGCAGATGTGCAATATCAAACTTATCACCTACTTCATTGATAATTGTTAAATTACATCCTAAATAATTTATGGAAACTATTCTTCCAGGCCTCTTTCATTTTGCCCTTTGATCTGACTGGCCATTGAAAAGCATCCTACATTCCTTCTCTGCAGGAACTACTAAATTCAATGGAAATACTGGGTAATCTGACAGATAAACAAATTTGGCTATCCAGTTTACATCTTTAAAAGTTGGAACTAAACTGCCTTCCTATCTCTCAGAAAGAATACAGGTTTTATGTGTGATCCAAACATTTTTGACAAAATTTATTAACCCTCTTACTCAGAATGCAGCTAGGTTCTTTACTATTGGTTTCTTTATCACATAGTAAAGAGTATAAGCTATAACTTGATGCATTGGTTTTTACAATTTTTACTATGTCCCTAAGCGCATTGTTTAGTTTAGTGACATCTTTTCTCTTGGCAGATTTTCTCAAAAGAAGCACTGTATAAGGTTACATGAATTCTGGTTCAGTTTCTTTTCTTTTATATTTATATATTTATTGGTACATTTTAGGTATACAATACATTTGCATTTATCATTGGGTGTTTGTACCTGAACATGATATATCTTAATTCTTATTTTTTCTCCCATTAGCTGTGCACCCATCACCCCCTCCACCCTTCCCTATTTACACAGACTTTGATTCCATTTTTTTTCTTTCTCATAATTTTTCTTTTCCCTTCTTCCCTTTCCCCTTCCCCTCCCGCGACCCCCAAACCCTTGGACCTTTTCCTATTCCAAATTACCAATTATTCATT